CACACACCAGCGGCCTAGTGGCTCACGGGACGTGGTCAGAAGAGGAAAGCGCTCTTCACATAAACGCGCTCGAGATGCTGGCCGTAGACAGGGCGCTGAAGTCCTTCGAAAGGGTCGTCGCGGGTCAGGTAGTACACATTCTTACCGACAACACCACGGTAATGTACTACCTGAACAAGCAGGGCGGCACCCGTTCGCGGACACTCCTGGACCTTACGACCCAAATTTGGGAATGGTGCATAGACAGGGGGATTCATCTCCTAGCGACGCACGTACCGGGGGAGCAGAACTTGTTGGCAGACTCCCTGAGTCGAAATCCTCTGGCGAATCACGAATGGTCTCTGAATCTGGAGGAGGCTCGGAGGCTCTTCCTGGCATGGGGCACACCAGAACTCGACCTGTTCGCCACACAGTTCAATTCAAAATGCCACCTCTATTGTGCACGGACGCGGGCCGTGACCGGGGGCAGATGTCTAGGAGATGCGTTCACGCTTGTATGGACGGGGCGGAGGACCTACGCCTTTCCTCCTTTCCCTCTGCTATTGCGAGTTGTGGCCAAGATCCAAAGGGACAACGCCCACTGTATTCTAGTAACGCCGTGGTGGCCGAGGCAACCGTGGTTCTCACCCCTGCGGTTGTTAGCGAGAGGAATCTTCATCCCTCTCCCGCCCAGGACGGACCTGCTCACATCACAGGGGGGCCAAGTGTTGTACCCAGAGGTACACAAACTGAGGCTGACGGCATGGCGAATCCTGCCAACGCCATAGACCCTCTGTTGGGTTTCTCGCAACCGGTGCTCCAGATCATTGAAGCAGCGCACAGACCATCGACGAGGCGCTCTTATGTCTACAAGTGGGCGCGCTTCTCCTCCTTCGCTAGACAGCGAGGAGTGCTCCCTGACTCGGCCCCCATCTCGGTAGTGTTGGACTTTCTAGCGTCTCTGTTGGACGCTGGTTTATCGTTTCCGTCGTTGAAGTGTTACCTGGCCTCCATTTCCTGGTTTAGGCAAAAAGTGGGCCTTCCTTCCTGTTTTTTAGACCCTGTTGTTAAGTCGTTTTTAAGGGGACTTAAGAACACTAGGCCTCCTGTGTCCCCGATAGTTCCTTCTTGGAGTTTGGAGCTTGTTCTTAATACGTTGATGAGAGCCCCTTTCGAACCTCTGGCATCAGCAAGCCTGTCCTGTCTTTCATGGAAGACGGCCTTTTTAGTGGCCATTACATCGGCCCGCCGATCTAGTGAACTCTGTGCCCTAAGGGTTGACCCGCCTTACCTTAAGTTTCATAGAGACAAGGCGGTACTACGGACAGACATCGCCTTCCTCCCAAAGGTTTCAACTCAGTTCCATACTTCTCAGGATTTGATTCTTCCTTCTTTTTTTCAGAGCCCTACGACCCAGTTAGAAAGGGGTTTGCATTTATTAGATGTTCGCAGGGCTTTGGCCTTTTATGTCAGTAGAACGGCAGCAATAAGGAAAACCCCAAAGTTGTTTATAAAATATCGGGCGGATGTGTTGGGTCTTCCAGTATCACCTCAGAGACTTTCGTCCTGGATAGTTTCTACGATCCGCTTGTGCTACCGCACGGCGGGCAAGGACTTGCCCCTGCCGGTGAGAGGCCACTCTACGAGGGCAGTAGCCACGTCGGCCGCGTTCTGGAAGGGAGTTCCCTTGGACACTATTTGTCGTGCGGCGATCTGGTCCTCACCTCTGTCGTTTGTGACCCACTATAAGTTGGATGTTGTATCCAGGCGTGAGGCTCAGTTTGGCAGAGCGGTTTTGTTTTCGGCTGTGGCATGACGCCCACCGTCCATGGTTAGTTTGCTCGCTATTCTACCAAATGTACGATTCACAGTGACTACGACAGGAAATTATAAGTTGCTTACCTGTAACTGTAGTTTCCTGAGTAGTCACCTGTGAATTCGTACATACCCGCCCGTCCTCCCCTCGGGTCATGCCACACCTTCTGGCTGCTTTGCGGCGGAAGAGAACTGCTGGCTAGCCCCGCCCTCGGGCTACTTATACTCGAGGGGAGGGGGGGCGGGGCTAGTGGGCTCTAAAATTGTTATATTTTTATCTAGAAGGTTCCGAAAGCTGTACTGCGCATGCGCTCAGATACCAAATGTACGAATTCACAGGTGACTACTCAGGAAACTACAGTTACAGGTAAGCAACTTATAAATATCCCACTATACAGAAAATAGAAAATAATAGAATTGTATATACTTGTTATACTGTTCAATTTCACAGTAATCACAAACAATATTATATGAGTTTTTATACTGTCACTCTGAAATGATGTCAACGCCGTCTTCTTATGTTGAGTTGCATATGAATCAGCCACCCACAACCGGTCTCAGCCTTCCTCCAGTGGACTAAAATTATTATATACATCAATATTTGCTGCAAATATATCCATTAAACATCATATGTTAAAACACATTTAAAGGTACTTACAAAGTTATAAACTTGACACTTGTTCTCCTTAGAGATACAGGCTTTTTACTTAGTGGGATCTAAATCAAAGGAACACAATGTGGCTGTAAATATTTGAAAGTTACATATACTAAAAATGAATGTTTTGTCAAAATATGAATGTATTTTACAAAACAGGAGAGTACTCATGGGATACTCTGCTGTGTGTTTGGTTCTAATAGCAAGTATGAAATTCTAGCCATTCCTCATCCTCACATGAGACCACAATAATAATAATAATAATAATAATAATAATAATAATAATAATAATAATTATGCAAGGAAGCAGATGAAACAATAGATCACATCCTCCAGATCCCGCAGACAGACTACAAGCAGAGGCACAATACCATTGCTCAGGTGATTCATTGGAACTTGTGCTACGAAATACCATCTGCTTGTGACAAAGAACTGGTGGGATCACAAGCCGGAAAAAGTTACAAAAAAAACATGTCAAACTCCTCTGGGACTTCCGAATTCAGACAGACAGAGTTTTGGAGCATAATATTTATTTATTAATTATTTATTTACTTCACTTGTATACCGCTCTTCTCAGCCAACGGCGACTCAGAGCGGTTAACAACCAGTATCAATAATACAGTACAAAATCATTAGTCATTTAAAACAGTAATATCAATTAATTAACATCAGGACATCAATACAACAATACAGGAAAACAACAATCCATCACGTCTCATCAATAGAATCAGCATCCGATCTCGTTGTCCATTAATCCATATTCCAGTAATCAATCAATTGCACTGCTTAGTTGAAAGCCTGTTCGAAGAGCCAGGTCTTCACTCTCTTCCTGAATGCCAATAAGGAGGGGGGCGATCTAATGTCTGTAGGAAGGGCGTTCCACAGCCGGGGGGCCAACTGAGAAGGCCCTGTCTCTCGTCCCCGCCAGGCGTGCTTGTGAAGCTGGCGGGACCAAGAGCAGGGCCTCCCCAGACGATCTTAATCCTAACTGGTTCATAGGAGGAGATGCGTTCGGACAGATAGGTCGGGCCAGAACCGTTTAGGGCTTTAAAGGCTAAAGCCAGCACTTTGAATTGTGCCCGGTAGCAAATTGGCAGCCAGTGGAGCTGGCGCAACAGAGGAGTTGTATGCTCCCTGAGTGCCGCTCCTGTTAACAACCTGGCTGCTGATCGTTGGACCAATTGAAGCTTCCGAGCAGTCTTCAGAGGCAACCCCACGTAGAGAGCGTTGCAGTAGTCTATACGGGATGTAACCAGAGCGTGGACTACCGTGGCAAAGTCAAACTTCCCAAGGTACGGGCGCAGCTGGCGCACAAGTTTTAATTGTGCGAATGCTCCCCTGGTCACTGCTGAAACCTGGGGTTCCAGGCTCAGCGATGAGTCCAAGATCACACCCAAGCTGCGAACCTGCGTCTTCAGGGGGAGTGTAACCCCGTCCAACACAGGCTGTAATACTCCCGACCTCACGATTGTGTAAAAAAACAAAGTATGGATTGTTGATGTTGCAATCCCAGGCGACAGCAGGACTGAAGAGAAACAACTGGAAAAGCTGACACGATATGAGGATTTAAAGATCGAACTGCAAAGACTGGCACAAGCCAGTCAAGGTGGTCCCAGTGGTGATTGGCACACTGGGTGCAGTGCCTAAAGACCTTGGCCTGCACTTAAACACAATCAGCGCTGACAAAATTACCATCTGCTAGCTGCAGAGGCCACCTTACTGGGATCTGCATGCATTATTTCCAATACATCACACAGTCCTAGACACTTGGGAAGTGTCCGACTGTGTGATCCAATAAACAGCCAGCAGAGTGATCTTGTCTGCTGTGGACTCATCTTGTTGTGTCAAACAACAACAACAACAACAATAATAGTAATAATAATAATAATAATAAAATAATAATAATAGCAATCCCAGGTGACAGCAGAAGTGAAGAGAAACAACTGGAAAAGCTGACACATATGAGGATTTAAAGATCGAACTGCAAAGACTCTGGCACAAGCCAGTCAAGGTGGTCCCAGTGGTGATCGGCACACTGGGTGCAGTGCCTAAAGACCTTGGCCTGCACTTAAACACAATTGGCGCTGACAAAATTACCATCTGCCAGCTGCAAAAGGCCACCTTACTGGGATCTGCACGCATTATTCGCCGATACATCACACAGTCCTAGACACTTGGGAAGTGTCCGATGTGAGATCCATGCTTCCCCATATCTGCTTTAACTGCTACAGTTCACTGCTATGGAAATAATAATATAATAATAATAATAATAATAATAATAATAATAATAATAATAATAAAATATGTGCAGTATTGTGCAGGAGGCAGCAACTGGATTTCAAGTGGGCCCAGGCTCTAGTGTGATGAGGTCCTTCAAAGTCACCCAGAATCCCCAGTCTATCCCTGGTTTTCAGACTCAGGCACATAGACTCCAAGGGATTCAGCTCCTTAGCAGAAAACAAGGGATTTGAGATTGGTGGAGGGAGAGAGGAAGAGGAGCTCAGCCTGAGTCACATAGGAAGGGTTAAGGAGAGGGAGTTGGATTGCTAGAGAAGACCGGAAGTTGACAAGGGAGGAGGCCAGTCCTCCAGAGCAGTCCTCCTGCCTTTCCCTCCACCAGATCCAGGCCCAGGTGAGTCCCAAGCCAGGCCTTCTCCATAGGCTTGCACCCTTTTGCAGAGTGGGCCTCTGGAACTGGTGGGCTTCCCTGCATTTCCTCTTCTTCCCATTTATTTACAGGGAGGAGAAAAGAGGGAAAGGGGAGGGGTGTCTTGGCTTGATCACACTGCTGAATATCAAAGCAGGTAATCTGGGCTTTGGGTTGCTGTGAGTTTTTGGGGCTGTATGGCCATGTTCCAGCTGCATTCTCTGTTGACATTTCGCCTGCATCTGTGGCTAGTGGCATCTGTTGGAAATAAGACAAGTAGAGTGTATATAGGGTTGTTGTAGGTTTTTCAGGCTGTATGGCCTTGTTCTAGAAGCATTCTCTCCTGACGTTTCGCCTGCATCTATGCTTGCCATAGATGCAGGCAAAATGTCAGGAGAGAATGCTTCTAGAACATGGCCATACAGCCCGAAAAACCTACAACAACCCCAATAACAGCTTATTTTGTCTTGGGGAAATGTAAGAGAAGCACTACTCTCTCCACACAGCCCGAAAAACCTACAACAACCCAGTGATCATTTACCAATTTTCCTAGTTCCCAACAGACCTCACAACCTCTGAGGATGCTTGCCATAGATGCAGCGAAACGTCAGGAGAGAATGCCTCTAGAACATGGCCATAAGCCCGAAAAACCTACAACAACCCAATGATTCCGTCTATATAAATAAAATGTAATGTTCGTTTGTGGGATTGACATAACTCAAAAACCACTGGACGAATTGACACCAAATTTGGACACAAGACACTTATCAGGCCAACGAGTGACCATCACTCATAAAACACTGAAAACACAGGACTTAAAAGGCCAAAAAAGCAAAAAGGCGCTACAGCACATGCACAAAACCACACATATATATACACAAACACACATATATACAAATATACCCAGATATATACACATAGGTAAAGATTTTCCCTTGACATTAAGTCAATCATGTCTGACTCTGGGGATTGGTGCTCATCTACATATATGTATATACACATATACACAAGTATATACACACCTCTACACACACAAAACACATATACACAGACTGGGCCACAGCAACGCATGGCAGGGGGCGGCTAGTGTGTGTGTGTGTGTGTTTGTGTGTGTATCTGTGGAATGTCCAGGGTGGGAGAAAGAATCCTTGCAAACAATCAAGTGCCAGTTAACACTTCTCAAACAGAGGATGCCCCCAGGCAACAGAGGCCAGGCTACCTTTATTTTATTTTATTTTGTCGTGTCAGGAGTGACTTGAGAAACTGCAAGTCGCTTCTGGTGTGATAGAATTGGCCGTCTGCAAGGGATTGGCCATATGCAGATATCCTCACTGATTGACTTTGCAGCTGCAAGGCTACTCAATGCTAATCAAGCTTGCTTATTCTTGCAACATTCAGACTTGCTTCTAACAGAGAGCAGTTCTTTCTCCCACCCTGGACATTCTACAGATATATACGAGGGTTATCCTGAAAGTATGGTTACAAGGCATATAGCTCTTGCAGGAAGTCAATCAGTGAGGGTATCTGCATAGAGGGAGCCTGGCTGTTGTGACTTGGGAGAATCCTCAGCTTGGGAGGTTTCCTGCTATACAGCAGTGATACCAACTTCTCCCGTGAAAAATGCCTTGTAACCTTCCTTTCTGGATAACCCTTGTATGTACACTCCACTTGCTTCACTGCCAACAGAACATCTGAGGATGCTTGCCACAGGTGCAGGTGAAACGTCAGGAGATGAATGCTGCTGTAACATGGCCATACAGCCTGAAAAACTAACAGCAACCCAGTGATTCTGGCCTATAAGGCCATATAAAAGCCTCTGGCAACAGAATGTGGCTTTTATATGGCAGTGTAGAAGGGGCTGAGGTCTCTCCTGTTCCTGTCGATGTGAGATAGCCTTTTGTTGTACTCCACATACAAACACATAGATATGTACAGACCCTTCTTCTGACAGATCCAGCTGACACTAGCCATTGATTCTTTATTCCAGGGCTGCCAGGAAAGTGGGATCAGAAGTCCGGGGGCCAGGCTCTTGGAGGAGCGGCTGACGGAATTGGGTCTGTCTAGCTTGGAGAACTGAAGGCTGGGAGAAACCATCCAGATGCCACAACTGTGAGAAGTGTGTTGCTCAAATGCCATGTCTTCCAAGACACCAGGAAGTCCTGCAAAGAGTTCATCGCTTATGGACCAGAAGAGACTTCACGCAGGAGAGAAACTGTACACATGCCCGGAGTGTGAGAAATGTTTTGCCCGAAATGCAGACCTTGTGAGACACCAAAGAATCCACACAGGGGATAAACTGTATAAATGCCAGGATTGTGAAGAATGTTTTGTTCACCATCAACAACTAGTAAGACACCAGTTATCCCATAGAGAAGACAAACCATACAAGTGCCAGGAGTGTGGGAAATGTTTTGCTCAGAATGTCTACCTTGTGACCCACCAGAGGGTCCACACAGGAGAGAAACCATTCAAATGCCAAGACTGCGGGAGGTGTTTTGCTCAGACGTCCTGCCTTTTGAGACACCAGAGACTCCACACAGGAGAGAAACCATACAGCTGCGATGAATGTGGGAAAAGTTTCGCTCACAGTTCGTCCCTTGTGTACCACAAGAGACTTCACACAGGAGAGAGGCCTTACACGTGCCAGGAGTGTGGGAAAACCTTTGCTCGGAACGCACACCTTGCGGGCCACAAGAGGATCCACACAGGAGAGAAACGGTTTAAATGCCAGGAGTGTGGGAAATGTTTTGTTCACCATCAGCAACTAGTAAGACACCAGTTATTCCACACAGAAGAGAAAACATACATCTGCAGTGAATGTGGAAAATGTTTTGCTCAGTATGAATACCTTGTGACCCACCAGAGACTCCACACAGGAGAGAAACCACACATCTGCAAGGAATGTGGAGAGTGTTTTGCTCACGGGTCATCTCTTGTGTACCACAAGAGACTTCACACAAGAGAAGAACCATACAAATGCGAGTAGAATGGAAAATATTTTGCTCAGAATGCATACCTTGTGACCCATCAGAGACTCCATGGAGATGCATAAAAATAATAGGAGTGTTTGAAATTCTCAGACTCACAAACGTGTCCATAGATATAGTGAGTTTTCTCTTGCACTGGTGAATAGTTCTTAGCAGTGATAAATTCTAGCTAATGTTTGTTAAGTTCTCCTTTGTTATATTATTATTATTATTATTATTATTATTAGAAACACAACAAGATGAGTCCACAATTAACAAGATCACTCTACTGGCTGTTGTATTGCCTCACACATCGGACACTTCCCAAGTGTCTAGGACTGTGTGATATATCGGCGAATAATACGTGCAGATCCCAGTAAGGTGGCCTTCTGCAGCTGGCAGATGGTAATTTTGTCAGCGCTGATTGTGTTTAAGTGCAGGCCAAGGTCTTTAGGCACTGCACCCAGTGTGCTGATCACCACTGGGACCACCTTGACTGGCTTGTGCCAGAGTCTTTGCAGTTCGATCTTTAAATCCTCATATCATGTCAGCTTTTCCAGTTGTTTCTCTTCAATCCTGCTGTCACCTGGGATTGCAACATCGACAATCCTTTCTTTGTTTTTTAACACGATCCTGAGATCAGGAGTATTATGCTCCAAAACTCTGTCTGTCTGAATTCGGAAGTCCCAGAGTAGTTTGACGTGTTCATTTTTTGTAACTTTTTCAGGCTTATGATCTCACCAGTTCTTTGTCACAGGCAGATAGTATTTGTGGCACAAGTTCTACTGAATCATCTTCTTGCAGCAGCTGAGGATGTGATCTATTGTTTCAACTGCTTCCTTGGAGAGTCTATTATTATTATTATTATTATTATTATTAGAAACACAACAAGATTAGTACACAGCAGACAAGATCACTCTGCTAGCTGTTGTATTGGATCACACGTCAGACTTTTCCCAAGTGTCTAGGACTGTGTGATGTATCAGCGGATAATGTGTGCAGATCTGAGTAGGGTAGCCTTTTGCAGCTGACAGAGAGTAGTTTTGTCTGCGCTGATTGTTTTCAAGTGCAGATCAAGGTCTTTAGGCACTGCATCCAGTGTGCTGATGTCCACTGGGACCACCATGGCTTGTGCCATGATGATGATGATGATTATTATTATTATTATTACAGTGTTCCCTCGCTACTTCGCGATTCGCTTTTCGCGCACTCGTTGTTTTGCGGTTTGTTAATAAATATTAATGTAAAATATTTATATTACATTATTTACGTGGTGGCAGATGTCGAGTAGCTCCGCCTGGCAGCCAACGGGCCTCAGAATGGGAGGCTGGTGTGCGGGTTTGGCCTGAGGCGTGGCGGGGAAGGCCTGCTGGTCACAAAGTGTGACCTACTGCACTATCGCTGCCCTGGAAGTGACTACGGAGGCATTTATTTGGTGAACTCTCAGCAGAGGCAATTAAGGAAGTGTGAGGGCTAGACTGTGCATGCACACTTCTTATATAATTCTTCTATTTATTTATCTGACACGATAAATAAATAGCCCAATGGAAGTGGAGCATTTTCTAAAAGTTGCTGCTCAATGAAAGTGTCTGAAGGATTTTGTTTGTAAGGTAAAGGAAAAGGTTTCTCCCTGAATCCTATAATAATGTATAAATATTAAAATAAATATAGCATCCCTACTTCGCAGATTTTCACTTTTCGCGGGTGGTCCTGAAACGTAACACATTGTATTTTGATATAATTTGAATTCATTACCTAGCTGTTGTTCTCCAGGGCAGAAGAAAGCAAGCTCACACCTGCTTCTCCATAAGATTATGCTGCCATCTCTTTCCCAGACAAAATATGTAAAGTTCTGTCCATTGTTCCTTGTCCAGCATAATTTTAGATCTTAGTTAACATATTTCAAGAAGTATGGGAACTTCAAATAAAAAAAATTATTAAAAGAATATAGTTATTACAGGACTTGTTCCAAAATATAAACGTTGTGTGTGTGTGTGTGTGCGTGTGCGTGCGTGTGTGTGTGTGTGTGTGTGTGTGTGTGTGTATATATATATATATATATATATATATATGAGATTATCTATTTTGGACAACAGTTGAAATAATAATAATAATAATAATAATAATAATAATAATAATAATAATGACAACAACTTGGGAAGTGTCCGACGTGTGATCCAATACAACAGCCTGCAGAGTGTCTCATCTTTTTGTGTTTCAAATCAACCTCATAATCATCCACATGTTTGTGGATTTCAATGTCTTCTCTGTGTAGTCTGACATGGTGGTTGTGAGAGTGGTCCAGCATTTCTGTGTTCTCAAATAATATGCTGTGTCTAGGTTGGTTCATCAGGTGCTCTGCTATGGCTGACTTCTCTGGTTGAAGTAGTCTGCAGTGCCTTTCATGTTCCTTGATTCTTGTTCGGAACACAGCATATTATTTGAGAACACAGAAATGCAGGACCACTCTCACAACCACCATGTCAGGCTACACAGAGATGTGGACAATTTCATCAGAAAGAGGAAGATCATGAAAATGAACAAAATCTGGCTACAGTTTTTTAAAAACTCTAAAATCAGGACAGTAAATAAAGAACAACACTTAAAAATGGGAATTCCAGACAAGAAACAATCAGGGCCAGCTAACACCTCCCAACAAATGTTCAACCAGGCAGGAAGCAGCCAGGCTTTGAAGCTGCAAGGCTATTCAATGCTAATCAAGGTGGCCAATTGCAACATTCACACTTGCCTCAAACAGACAAGAGTTCTTTTTCCCACCTTGGACATTATTCCACAGATATTTCCTAATATATTATTTCCTAAGACTAAAATTATTTCCTAAGACTAAAATCAGGACAGTAAATAAAGAGGAACACTAAAAAAAACAAGGAAATTCCAGACAAGTATCAATCAGGGCCAGCTAACATCTCTCAAAAAAAAAGTGTTTCCCCATGCAGGAAGCAGCCAGGCTTTGAAGCTGCATGGCCATTCAATGTTAATCAAGGTGGCCAAATGCAACATTCACACCTGCCTCCAGCAGAGAAGAGTTTTTTCTCCTACCCTGGATGTTCCAGAGATATATAACCCCTCCCCCCCCTTGCCTAGTTTCCAACAGACCTCACAACCTCTGAGGATGCCTGCTGTAGATGTGGGCGAAACGTCAGGAAAGAATGCTTCTGGAACATGGCCAAACAGCCCGGAAAAGTCACAGCAACTCAGTGATTCTGGCCATGAATTCCTTCAACACATAGATTAGGAATGTTTACATCTAAATAGATATGCTTTGTGTGGTAGTGTTAAGGGGAAAACAATGATAGTCATAGCGATACACAACCAACTTGGTTTATACATTACTAATTTACTAACGGATTATCTTGAATGTTTAGATTCCTTAAGCAATAATTTGATTCAGATAAAGACTTAAACAGTCGGACAAGAATAACCGAGATGAACTTTTACAGAAGGCGGCCAGAAAAGAAGAAAGAACAATATGAGGGAATAGAAGAAGATAGAAGAAGACACGACCTTCGGATTTAAAACTAATTGATAATATCACTCCTCTCTTTGGTATAGAAGATATAATGAACTTTTAAGACTTTAAGTAATGAAAATAAGTATAATGGATGTAATATTCATCACTATGTACATTGACTATTCTTTTGTCTCCCCACCTTCCCCTGGGAAATATTAGATAGTGGTAAAGTCTAACCTTACTAACAATGACTCCAATCCTCCCCCTTCCCCTTTTAATTTCATACCCAACCCTTTATACCTTTCCCCACTGTGTGTGTGTGTGAAAAAAATTGAAATGTCTAATAAATACATACCCTCCCCCTCTATATATATGTATATATATCATAAGAGGTCAGGACATGCTGCATTATCCCAGGATGTCTTCGCCCTACACCACTGGAGAAATTATACTGTTTAGCTGGTATTGTGATTTTATTATTTATTATTTTCAGTATTTATATTCTGCCCTTCCAACCCCACAGGGAACACAGGGCGGATCACAATCCACATATATCTGGCAAATATTCAATGCCATAGACACACAACATATATAGACAGACACACAGAGGCTATTTAACTTCCAGCTTCATGAGGGTATGCTTTGAATTCTGGCCACTGGGGGAGCTGTTGCTTCACCGTCCACTTGTGACACTGATGGAGTACTTCCTCATTCTTTTGTAGAGTTTTATGGTGTTGTAAATTAGTTAAATTAGCCTTCTCGCATAAGTGGTACCTAAATATCCTACTTGACAGATGCGACTGTCTTTCAGGCTGCAAAGGTCGACAGGAAGCTAGACAAATGGTTTATTTATTTATTTCGAACATTTTTACCCCGCCCTTCTCAACCCCTGGGGGGACTCAGGGCGGCTTACAATTGGCAATAATTCAATGCCGCATCATAAAATACAGAATAACAAATATAACAATTAAACATGAACATTAATAAATAACGTTTAAAAGAGTATACTTACACTCCGATTAGCTATTGCCTGTCTGATGGTTGTTTAGCTAGCCATCTACCAATGATTTCTCCGCTTAACTTACCCAAATCCCCTTCCATTCCATAGTCAAACATTATCAATTGTCCTTTAACCTGATTACCCAAAGGCCTGGTCCCACATCCATGTTTTTACCTTTTTTCTAAAGGTGAGGAGGGATGACAATGACCTAATTTACCCAGGGAGCAAATTCCACAGGCGGGGGGCCACCACCGAGAAGGCCCTGTCTCTCATCCCCGCCAAGCGTGTTTGGGACAAAGGCGCGGCTGAGAGCAGGGCCTCCCCAGGAGATCTTTAGCTCCGAGGTGGGACGTAGAAGGAGATATGTTCGGACAGGTACACTGGTTGGGAGCTTACTCCGACCCGGGCTGGTTTTGAACTCATGACCTTTCAGTTAGTAGTGGTTTTTAATGCAGCTGACTCCCAACCAGCTGTGCCACAATCCGATACGTTTCACTACATTGTACCACCTGACATCCGCTGGGAAGTAGCAGCCTGTAATTACAGTGTTCCCTCGCTGTTTCATGGTTCGCTTTCCACAGACTCACTGTTTCGCAGTTAGGGTTTAGATTTAATTATTCTAAACCATAACCGTGAAAGTGAGTCCACGGGCTCCGTGGTTGCCGAGGTGAGGTGGGGAAGCTGGCCCTAGCGACAGCAGGATTGTTTTTTGTTTGTTTTGTTGTGTCCGGAGCAACCTGAGAAACTGCAAGTCGCTCCTGTTGTGAGAGAACTGGCCGTCTGCAAGGACGTTGCCCAGGGGAAGCCCAGATGATTTGATGTTTTTATCATCCTTGTAGGAAGCTTCTCTCATGCCCCCGGATAAGGAGCTGGAGCTGATAGAGGTCTTCAGTCCTGTCAGCACAGGGGTTTAAC